GCCCAAAGACCGTTTCACAAAGCTCACCATCTCTTCCTTGATACGCTCTGTAATTTTATCAGTCGCTTCCTCGTGTGCGTGGAATAAGCTGATGACGCTGGTATTATCAGGGTCCAAGATATTTCCGTCTTCATCTCTGACAATCAGATCAAGCTCAAGGATTCTGCAGAGCAAAAAAAAATCAAGGAAAGCTGAAGCCTTTAGAACATTGATGAGAAGTTTCTACCAGAAAGCTCACCGGATTTCAGCCGTACACAGATAGCACGACACACAGCTGCGAGTCACCCTCGTATGGTTCAGCCTCTCTGGGAGGTATTGTGGCAGTGTGTATTAAAATATAATTGAATATGTATTTCCTGCGAGAGTGAACCTAGAGAAACAACCACACGTGAACAAGGATGTGTGTTGAAACAATTATATATATATATTGTTTATTGATATATTGAAACAAATTAAAATCTCTGTCAAAGGGGGAATGGCTAAATAAACTGTGATCTGTAATGGAGTTCCATAGCACAGGGTTTTAAAAATGTGATATAGTTCTGGTATGTTTAATGATATATATCAGCGAAAAAAAATCAAGCATGAAGAGATGCATAAGTGTGTTTCAAGTAAAAAACAAACAAACAGACCAAGCCAGGTAAGTTCCCTGGGTGCATGTATAGAGAGAAACTTCTGGACAAAATTCACCAAACTGCTAACACTACCAACACATGCACCTGTGAGGAGAAGCAGGGCCCTGGGACCAGGAGAGGTGTAGGGGTCAAGGAGAATTGTGCCTTATCTCTATTCATTTAATGTTTATGTAAGCCACAGAACATAATACAGTATGGTATACAATATAATACACAGAGAAGGTGTTCATGTATCACTTATTCAGTGACAATTTGGAAGTAGTTATTGGGAAAAATCTCAGATATCTCCATCGTTATCCACAGCTTGCTCTTTAGCTCTGTGACTTCCAGGTCACAAGCTTTTCCCTGTTTGGTATTGATCTGTTTCAACTGCATCTGCCATTCTGATTGGAATCGATGACACGAACAACAGCAAACACCCACACAGCACTTGTGATAAGCTGTGCATTAAATTCTTTACACACGTTAAAGCATTTGACCCTTATAATAACCCTAAGAGGGAGGTGCTATTAATGCCCCTATTTTACAGGAGAAGAGAAGACTTCAGGATACTTTGCTCCAGGTCACACAGTAAGAAGCAATATGGCACCCTAGTCTGCATTCTTGACCTTTATGGTATACTTTCTAGATAGAAGGCCTTTAGAAGCAGTACTGGGTTGGGGGAC